ACTACAACTATCTTAACCCAACTACAACTATCTTAACCCAGCTATAACCAACAGCTACAACTAACAACCCAGCTACAACTATCTTAACCCAACTACATCTATCTTAACCCAGCTACAACTATCTTAACCCAGCTACAACTATCTTAACCCAACTACAACTATCTTAACCCAGCTACAACTATCTTAACCCAACTACAATAATTTTAACCAACTACAACTATCTTAACCCAGCTACAACCATCTTAACCCAACTACAACTATCTTAACCGCTACAACTATCTTAACCCAGCTACAACTATCTTAACCCAACTACAGCTATCTTAACCCAGCTACAACTATCTTAACCAACTACAACTATTTTAACTCCCAACTACATCTATCTTAACCCAACTACAACTATCTTAACTAGCTACAACTATCTTAACCCAGCTACAACTATCTTATCCCAGCTACAACTATCTTAACCCAGCTACAACTATCTTAACCCAGCTACAACTATCTTAACCCAGCTACAACTATCTTAACCCAACTACAACTCTAAGCCCAACTACAACTATTGTAACCCAACTACAACTATCTTAACTCAGCTACAGCTATCTTAACCCAACTACAACTATCTTAACCCAACTACAACTATTTTAACCGAACTACAACTATCTTAACCCAGCTACAACTATCTTAACCTAGCTACAACTATCTTAACCCAGGCTACAACTATCTTAACCCAGCTACAACTATCTTAACCCAGCTACAACTATCTTAACCCAACTACAACTATCTTAACCCAGCTACAACTATCTAACCGCCCAACTATATTTAACCCAACTACAACTATCTTAACCAGCTACAATCTTAACCCAACTACAACTATCTTAACCCAGCTACTACTTAACCCAACTACAACTATCTTAACCCAACTACAACTATTTTAACCGAACTACAACTATCTTAACCCAGCTACAACTATCTTATACAGCTATCTTAACCCAGCTACAACTATCTTAACCCAGCTACAACTATCTTAACCCAGCTACAACTATCTTAACCCAGCTACAACTATTTTAACCCAACTACAACTATCTAAACCCAACTACAACTATTGTAACCCAACTACAACTATCTTAACCCAGCTACAACTATCTAAACCCAACTACAACTATTGTAACCCAACTACAACTATCTTAACCCAGCTACAGCTATCTTAACCCAACTACAACTATCTTAACCCAACTACAACTATATTAACCCAACTACAACTATTTTAACCGAACTACAACTATCTTAACCCAGCTACACCCATCTTAACCCAACTACAACTATCTTAACCCAGCTACAACTATCTTAACCCAGCTACAACTATCTTAACCCAGCTACAACTATCTTAACCCAACTACAACTATCTTAAACCCAACTACAACTATCTTAACCCAACTACAACTATCTTAACCCAGCTACAACTACAACTATACTATAACCCAACTACAACTATCTTAACCCAGCTACAACTACAACTAACCCAGCTACAACTAACTCTACAACTATCTTAACCCAACTACAACTATCTTAACCCAGCTACAACTAACTTAACCCAGCTACAACTATCTTAACCCAACTATATCTATCTTAACCCAGCTACAACAATCTTAACCCAGCTATAACTATCTTAACCCAACTACAACTATCTTAACCCAGCTACAACTATCTTAACCCAGCTACAATAATCTTAACTCAGCTACAACTATCTTAACCCAGCTACAATAATCTTAACCCAACTATATCTATCTTAACCCAGCTACAACAATCTTAACCCAGCTATAACTATCTTAACCCGGCTACAACTATCTTAATCCAGCTTCAACTATCTTAACCCAGCTACAATTATCTTAACCCAGCTTAGCCAGCTATAACTATCTTAACCCAACTTAGCTTATTAAGGCAATCTAGACTAGGTTAAGTTAGGTTAATGTCGTCAGGGTAGTCTGAGTTAGGTTAAGATAATGGATGTATGGATAGTCAAGGTTCGATTAAGTTGATGATCGTAAAGATAGCCGACGTTTGGCTAAGACAAGTATTATCGTCAGGTTAGTCAAGGTTAAATTAGGTTACTGTTAGTCAGATGAGTTTTGGTTAAGTTAGGTTAAATTAGGTTTGGTTAATATTCTTATGGATGAATAAGACTAGGTAAGATAATGTTCTTAAGGATATTCAAGGTTAGGTTAGGTTAATGGTCGTTAATATGGTCAAATTAATCCTCGTCGTGATAGTCTAGGTTTTGTGTTGTTGCGATACTATGATTTTCAATTGCTTGTTGTTGTTTTTTCCGCTGCAGAATTTCTAGTTCGGGTAAAAAAAATCACTCCAGGTTGGTGGGTGTGTTGGTGACCCCAGCAGGGCCCGGCGGCGAAGCGGTACATCCCCTTTACGTACAGACGGGTTTGGGGATACTCACAGGCAGTGTGGTGTCACGCAGCTAAACTCACCGCCCACACACTTCCTCAGATTCTAGCTAAAACTTCATTTAAGGACCATACATTTATTATAAATCATATAATTTCTCTAAAGACAGTTATTTAATGCCTTAGTTATATAATTGAGAACATGTGGTTCCCATACGTGGCATTGGGCCGAAATAATAAATGCCTCCTTAAAATTTCCAGAAGGATAAATCAAATGTCAAATCTGGTTTCAACCCAGTTAGCAGGAGAAGCAGGTAATTCTGTTTATCGTCTGTCACTGGAACAGTTTTACTGCTGAGTAAGGCAGGCCCTATGCTGTAACTTACGAGTAAGCTGTCTCAGGAGTATCTCTATCGCTCCCTAACTGGCGTCTTCTCTCCATCTCTCTAGTTCTTTCCACTAACTGTAAAAAGGACATCCTTCTTCAAATGTCTAATTTAGTACATCGTAACAGCTGATGATGGCTTTTTAATTTTACTTTTTTTCTGGAGCAAAGTTGTCTCTCCGACCTGTGTTTCCTTTGCTACCATACGACCATAACTTAACCTTTGTTAACTTAACATTGTTGAACTTTTTATCTGCAATGCAGTCGATAAGTTATAGAAGTGTGCTCTCCTTGTCACACTTCCAACTTTTGGTTTCCCTGATTTTTTAACTTCTTGGATTTCCCTTTATCTACACAATCGCCATATCTGTACAGATTATTTTTCCACCGATGCTGGAATGCCTCAAGGCTTAGTTCCTGCTCCTATATTGTTAGTATTACATCTTGATAACTTCTCCATTCTCTCCAGTAACAATTAATTCTTTGTCGATTGTACTAACTCAATTTCAACCAAGCCTTGCAATGTGTCGCTGAAAATGTATTGAACAAATATTTTCAATGCATAGTTCAATGAGACCAAAGCGACCTAATTACATTCATTAGTACCAAAACACAAGTTCTCGCTGTCTCACTTTTCCAGCTTCCACTCTCTTTCACTAATATCCTATTGTATCAGCCTCTCCTTAGTCTTAAAATGACCACTGGCATCTCTTGGAATCATCATATTTTAACACTGCAAAGCATACTTCCACAATACTAGGTTTCCCACACAGCTACAGTATTACACTTTACAAAGATCATGTCTGCACTTACTTAAACTTCCATTCTAATGTGTGGAGTGGCACACCGCAGTCCTCTTTAACATTATTAAACAAGTCATAGTTCACAACCTGTCTCTCACTTACTCGTTAACCCGCCTCTTCATTTCAAATGGTCTGTCTCTTCACTTTCTCTTTTCTATAACTATTAACGTTGTAAAATGCATTACTGAAATCCAGTCAATTATCCCTCCTTCTTCCAAGCCCAATCATAATACCTGTACGAGTCATTCTTTTTCATGGCTCCCTTAATTCATCTAACCTTTATTCAGTCGAAATTTTATCATCTTTCGCCTCTTTCATTCCACAAACTTCTTGTCCATGGATCTTCCTTCCCTTCACACCTTTTATTCCATACACAAGTTTGAACATTTTATATGTAGGGCATCCACTAGCCCGCCATTACTCTCTTTATTCATGTACACTCTCTCCAAAAAGTATCTTTACGGAGGGGTCCAATGGATTTCAAAATGAATACCTCGACTCCTATTGTCTCGGTAGGGTTGTCAAAATCTTTCATCTATTGTGTCATATTGTCTAACTCAAAATCGTAAAGATACGTTTTGGAGCGAGTGTACCTTATCCATTCTATTCGAGGCAAGCCGTAAGTCATTTTCCAATTATTTTACCATTAAGAGGACACACCGTCATGCCTTCAGTACCTCCATTAGGCCATTATCATGTTAAATAATCGAAAAAATCTGATATCTTACCCCAAACACAAACTGTTCAAGCATAGCACATACCCTGATTACCCTTGACTCGTCCGTCAACTATTTTTAGGATTTTTTTTTCCTGGATGGAGATTAACTTTGAACATTACCCTATATATAATTGCATCTTTTAAGAATCCAGGACGTAGTACTACTCATATCATTGGAGTTGAATCATTTTTAGCTACTTTATTTTTAAAACGTCATTGGAGCTCCGTCTGACATCTCTATGAACACCAATCCAGTCTGATTGGCTCTCTCTCTTTGTGAAAACTCTTACTTTGCTCATGACGACCAGCTCTCCTGCCCGCAGTTGAGGACCATTTCTTGATGAACATTATTTTTTTCAAAGACTATCATAAAAGTTATTTGCTTCAAAGAGTTCTTCCAGCGACTATCTTATACTGATAGCCTTAGGTTACGTTTTTGCTGGTATTATCATTGTATCATATAACACTAGAGCTGTATTACACCTCCATAATCATGACAAAAAGATGTCTATAGACTATTCATTAGGAGTATTTCAATCATACTGGCTGAGATGCATTATTCTATACTGCATCGTCTTGGTAAACTGTAATATTCATATTTACGTGACAAATGTATACAAAGTCCTACTAGAATAAACTTTTAATCACTACATTCATGTAGAACATATTACTGGTGATCGTATAGGTTGAGTACTCACCTTCTGGTCGAGGAACCATGGTGTGTCCTAGTTTGTTGACACAGAGTTTCTTAGCGTGGCCCAGCACTCCCGCGCTGCCAACATCCCCATTAGCAGAGAAGTCGGTTATGCCATCCATCCTTTCACCCTTGGTAGAGGGTTGGGTGGGTTTCTCCATCGTGCGGCCTAAGAGAGGTTCCCAAGACAATGAGGGGCACACCGACACACCCACTCACGTACACCCCAGCGTTATTGTCCGAGCCAAGCACTCCCCTGAGTCTTGACTAAGAGTCTGAGGATTTACAGTTTCCAGATTAAGAATCGTATATCTTGTTAAATCCACATTTCTTTATCTTGTTTTGCTGTTGTTGATGGTGTATCTAAAAAATTTATTGAAAATTAAACTGTGATTTTCACTGTTTTTAAATACTTGATCATCATTGTTGTTCCAAACACTAAACATAAAGTTCAATATATATGTAGAAGAAATTATATACAGTAATATAACTTATGTCTTAACACTAAAATCCTACTATAGGATAAAAACAAAACACGAGAACACTGTATATTTCGACTGTAGCCTGCGGTCCTCTTCAGCCTAATCTAACCAATTTTACGTATAACTTAGATCCAACGATGGGAAAACAGCGTCTTAAATGAAACAGAACAGAAATTACCGTATACGAATTAATTTCGATTACGTTCTAGCAGTAAAAACAAATAGTTATTCATATTTGGCAAAAATTTACATATTTTTTTACGGGGAATAGTCCACCCGGGCACAGGTCATCGGCGAAAAAATATGAGTAAAAAGAAATTACAAATAGAAAAGAAAAAGATTATATTAATCTACACCACGAAGACCGGAAAACCAACTTTTTGGTGTGAGACAGATTGTATGAGTATGAAAACACAGAAGAAGGCAGAACATTTCATAGCTTGGCTGTGTGGGGAAAGAAGGATGTACTATAGCGGGTTATTCTAGTGTGACCGACAGCCACAGGATGCCAAATCCACCTAACATTGCCCGTTAAAGTACCTGTAAAAGAGAGAGAGTGAAGCAATATTGCGGCGAAGAGAAAGGGAAGGGAGATTATCAACTAAAGGAGGAGAGTTAATTTGACGAAAGGCCTTTGATTCCACTCTATCTAACAGATGGACAGAAGAAGAGCCACCCCAGATATGAGAGCAGTACTCCGAGTTAGGACGAGTGAATCCCTTATAAACTTGAAACAACTGCTCAGGAGTGAAGTAGCTACGGCATCTGTACAGCATTCCCAGTTTTCGGGAGGAAGCTTTAGCAATGTTGTGGATGTGTGGCTTCTATGACACATTAGAGGAAATGGTGAGACCAAGCATATCTATTTTAGAATTTGGCAGAATGATTGCGTCTTGATATGTGATTGGTGGGAGATCATCTTATTTGGAAAGTATAATTGGTAAATACTGTGTTTTATTACTATATAATTTAACCAAGTTTCTACCTCCCCATTCTGAGATGCTGCACAGATCCGCATTGATAGATAAATTGATATTAGCTCTAGAAACAGATCTAGTTTGAGAATTAGGGGGAAGGGAAAAATGTGAATAAGAGTGAAGAGTAGAATCATCAGCGTAAAAATGGATAGAATTACTCGTATTGTGAAGTAAATCATTGATAAAAAGCAGGAAGGGAGTAGGTGAAAGAACAGAGCCCTGTGGGACACCACTATTGGTAGAGAAAAAGAGAGAGAGAGAGATCCCTCGACAACAACTGCCATGGATCAGTTCGCAAGGAGGCTAGGAATTAGAGAATATAATGGGGAAGAGAAACCATAAGAGGGAAGTTTAGAAAGCAAAGACTTGTGCCATACCCTGTCAAATGCTTTGGGCATGTCGAGGGCCAAGACGAAAATTTCCCCATAATCCTTAAGAAAAGATGGCCGAAGATGGGTGCAGTAGGAGAGCAGATGACCAGTCGATCTCGCCTGGCGAAAGCCATACTGGTGATCCGACAAAAGAGAAAGGCGTTCAAGGTGACGGAGAAAATGAGAGATTAAGATAGTTTCGAAAATCTTGGAAAGGGATGAAGTTGGGGCAATGGGGCGATAGATAGAGGGATTGGAATGGTCACCCTTCTTCGGGATGGGCTGAACCAAGGCATGCTTCCAAGAAGAAGGAAAAGGTTGAGTTTTTAGACAAAGGCGAAAGGGGCGAGCAAGCACAGGGGTTAGAATTTCAGCACACTCCCTCAGAATACGAGGAGGTATTCCCGTCCGGCCCATGCGCCTTACTCACATCCAACGTGGATAACACATCAGCAAACCTACGAGTCGAGATTATAGGAAAGTGCATAGGTTCAGTAGGAGGAGCAGGAATAGGAGGGATAGAGTTGGAATCGTCTAAGGTGGAGTTAGAGGAGAATAAGGTGCCAAAGAGATTGGCTTTATCAGGGGGAGAGTTGGCAATAGAGTTATCAGGTCGGAAGAGAGGAGGAAAAGAGGGAGTGCAGAAGTTATTACAGATGTTTTGGTTAAGGACCAGAAGGATTTACTAGAAGAAGAGTTAGTCAGGTCAGCGGTCTTTCTCTTTATAAATTCCGCTTGGCCCTACTAAGAATAGCCTTACAACGATTTCTAAAAGTAGTTAAAGAATAGATGGTAAGAGGAGATGGAGATAGTTTCATAGCTTGATACGCCCTATCTCTCTCCCTACATGCAAGAGAACAGGAGCGATCAAACCATGACTGTAAAGTGAAAGTTTTGGTAGAAGGTGGGATAAATGCACTCATACCACCCTGTATAACCCCAGCAATGCTGTCAGCACATACCGAGGTGCCCCGAGTGGAAAGGCAACATTCATCCCAAGGAAAGTCAGAGAAGAATTCTCGCAAGGATTGCCAGTTTGCCCTCCGATATTGCCATAGTTGGCGTTTAGAGGGGAGTGGAGGAGGTGGTCGTGTCCAGTTTGATTTAATAGAAATAAGATTGTGTTCAGAAGACCGTAAGGGGGCAGAAATTGAGTATGAATAGTGTGAGGGGTTAGAGGTAAAACAAAGATCAAGAATGTAATTAAGTTGATCATGTCGATCTGGAACACGTGTAGGGTGTTTGATTATTTTTTCCAGATCATTAAGTAAGGAAAAAGAGATTGCCTCATCTCCACCTGGGTTATCCCTTGCAGAGCCAAGCCACTCTCTGTGATGTACATTGAAGTCCCCTAGGTAGACGATCTCGGTGTTGGGGTGTGTGAATTGCAACGGCTCATGGCAAGAAGTGAGATAGTCGAAAAGTTCTAAATTGTTGGTAGAGTTGGGAGAACAATATAGGAAGCAAAGAAAAATAGTCATTGTTGGTATAGATATTTTGAGACAGATAACATCACAAAGAGACGATTCAAGATCCGTTAGTCGAGCTATAGGTGTACGTGTGTTGCAGTAGGCGCATACACCTCCCTCGGAACGGAAAGAGGTATAAAGGTTGTAGTTTGAGACTTGAAAAGGTTTGGGTGAAGCTGCTTTGGTCAGTTGAAGTTCAGATAGTAGTAAGAGGTCGGGGGAAGAGGTTAATAGATGGTGCTCCACAGAAGAAAAATTGGATCTCAGGCCGCGAAAGTTGGAAAAATGAAGTGTGAAAATAAACGATCCTCCAGCTATCGCGGTGACGTCAGTTGAGGCCCCAGTAGTTTGATGATGATCAGGTCGGCCCTGAGGTCCACAACATTCCCGACCACTGGGACCCATCCGAGAAGGCCTTGCTTTAATATTATTGTCAACTGATATCATAGGAGAAAAAAAGAATAAAAAGAATAGAACAGATCAAGAGTGAGAAAGGTTATGTATGTTGTGTTGTCAATAGTAAGAGAGACAATTGAGACCCTGCAATTGTGTGTAAATGAGGCAGAAACCTGGGACTTGGTCACAATTTTCGTAATGCTATATGGCTTCCAAAATCTTCCCAGGCGGCAGTACTGAGAATATCGGCAACCTTGGCATCAATTGGATCAATTTTCCCTTGTCCAATGACATGACCAAGGAAGCTTAAGGTGGCATGTCCGAATTCACTCTTGGGTAGGTTTACGGTGAAGTTGAACTCTGCTAGACGATTGAAGAGTTCACGGAGTCGGCCAATATGTTGTCCCCATGTGTCACCGACGACGACCAGATCTTCTAGATAGGCGTACACTCCAGGCAGGCCTGATGTTACTATATGCATCACTCGCTGAAATGTTGCTGGTGCTCCTTTGAGGCCGAAGGGCATAACTTTGCATTGCCACAGCCCCTCCGCAGTGACAAAAGCTGAAACCTGCTTTGCTTCTTCCGAGAGTTTGATTTGGTAGTAGCCTTTGAGAAGATCCAGCTTGGTGACAAATGATGCTTGACCCACACTATCGATGATGTCGTCGATGCGTGGCAATGGCTATGCATCAGCACGTGTCACCAGGTTGACCTTCCTGTAGTCAGTACACATGCGGACACTTCCGTCGGGTTTAGGCACCGGCACACAGGGTGACGCCCATGCACTACTGTTCCTCTCCACTAGGTCATGTTCCAGCAGATACTCCACCTCCTGCTTCAGCTTCTCCCGCTTATCAGGGCTCATTCGGAAGGGTGCTTGCTTGATGGGAGATGTGCCAGGCAGCAGTACTAGGTCGTGCTCCAGCAGAGAACACTGGCGTGGCACATCGTCGAAGAGTGGCTTGAACTCCTGCAGCAGTTGCACCACATCCTGAGACTGCTGTTGTGAAAGATGGGATACCTTAGAGGCAGGGTCACACAATATACTGTAATAACAGATTTTTATGGGGATATCCACTTGGAAATCAGTGTCTGGGACCACCTCCTCTCCTGTTACCGAACAAACCACTTCACTGCTACCAAAATACGGTTTCAACCTGTTGATATGAATCAAACTCTACAATTTTCTCTTGTCTGGAGTCGCTATGACATAGTTGAGGTCATTTAATTTCTTAATTATAGTGAATGAACCCTCATATTTAGCTTGAAGGGGATTTCTATACAGGGGTATACGTGCTAAAACCCTTTCTCCAGGCTTAAATTCTCTAGCTTGACAGTGCTCATCATATTGCTTTTTCATTTTCTCCTGTACTTCTGACAGATTTTCACGAGCAATCTCACCTACTCTCTTCAGTTTCTCTTTAAACTTCTCTACATACACTGACAAAGGGACTTTTATCTGATTACTTATCCAACTTTCCTTCAACACAGTCATAGGACCTCTTACAGCATGACCAAAAATCATTTCAAAGGGACTGAATCCTAGGGAATCTTGGGGACTCTCTCTTATGGCAAACAACATAAGTGGTACTCCTTCATCCCAATCCTTATCAGACTCCATACAGTATTTCCTAAGCATAGATTTAAAAGTCTGGTGGAACCTCT